ATAACATGAAACGATGGTCACGTTGTATTCTGTCAACAGCTTATGAACATTTAATATTTCTGGAAAGATTTTTTGTCTTTGTTTTAAGTCTGATGAAAGGTAATTTAGTAAGGCTCCTGAAATACTGTACCCTTCTACTGATTCTCTTTCCAGAATAAATGGTGTTTTTTAGGGAACAAGCATTTCGGTTATACCACTTTACCAGTTTCGTGTGGCTGAAAGCACAACGTGACGCAGGTCTATGACGTGTAGCATTTAGGCCTCATTTTATGTGTGACGGATTATTCCAGCTTGGTGTGAAGGCCTAAACACTCACATATCATAAACACATATCTTGTGCACATTAGGTAGTAACTAACATTACGTATAATCTCATAATTCTGATTATCAAACCGGACATGGTTGTACTTGACCACCAAAGAATATGTTGTGTAATTATATACACCTTGACTGTCTCTTCTTATTTTTTACATTGTGAAAGTTGTCTTGTTGACCAATCCCAATTTCCAGTCGAAATAAAAATATATTTAAACCATAAATGCATATCTGTATATCTGAGGTCATTTGACCCGCGATTCCCATCCGACAAGATTTGGGTGCCAGTAACGACATAACAAAATAAAATTTGACGGGTCTGTTTTGTTAAAACAAACCCCCTAAAAATATATTTATTCAAAGAACATAACATGAGTACCCTGTAAATGAAGCTTTTATTCCTAAGAGGCGGATCCAGAATATTGAAAAAGTAGGGGTGTACATAATACCTAAGTAACAGAGTGACTTGGACGAAAGCTCGGTTAACGTGAGGTGTGTGAACTCAATGAATTACACTTAAGTTTAAGACTCCCAATTAATCCCGTCTGGACCAGAAAATCCAGTGAGTAATATTATGAACAACGATCCACGTCGTTGGGGTCCGATGAAACGCAACCAACAGTCACCGAATCTCACCACACGGCCCATGCATTAAATCGTCTCTTCTGGCCAGCATTGGTTCCAATGGACAACATCTTAACATGGAATTCACATGGCAGCGTGGTAGAAATTGGTTTAGAAATCGGTACATTTGGCAGGAAATTTACACTTTGATAAGGCCTTTGATGTCTGTTCAACAATAGTCATTGACACCATTCAGCATTCACCTGATGAAGTGACAATAGTTTCCTCCATATCGTTGCAGTGAACAAAAGAAGTTGTCATGTATTTTATACTGATAAAAGGTCGCCTGCGTGCGAATGTACCATAGGCTACATAGCAGCCATTTTTGTTTGGCCCCTGATGATAGCTTCTAAAAGCTCTGAAGATAATCAAACCAATGCTATTTGTAGATCTCAAGTAACAAGAGGTAAGCAAGATACTTTCATTAACAACAGTTTTATTTCAACATGGTAAAAAACAAGTAACAATCATTCCGGCTTCAATATCAACATCACCACTCAATAGTCAAAGACCTCTGGATATCAACAAATGTCAGTTTTGCATAATTGCCAATTCAAAGATGATGGACATTATCAATAAACATTCACAAACAAAAATTGATAGTCTGTACAAAATAAAAAATAGTTTTGTACTTTAAACATAGTTACCAATATGAACGTTGTCAATAGAAGTAGACCTCATTTGTGTATGTACAATATCGGTCGTCCTGCACTTTAAGAAGACCAATGTGCTAAGAAACATTTGGCTATCAGTTATTTGCATTGAATCTATGTTCAATTCTTTATTCATGTACATGTGTAGGCCAGCGGCCATTGGTACAATATTCGGTCCATCATTAACATTTATAGGCTTAGTGTTTGGAGTCTAGCATTCATAGCATGGTATATAAAAGTTGCAACATTTCTAATTACAGTTTCATTGTTTACCGCCATAAGCATATTGAATTTAGCAAGAGTAGGATGTACAAAATACTTCTGTGGTAAATACTGAAGACGAAGTTCATCATAAGCGTTACAAATTAATAAAAAATGATATTCATTCTCGACATATCTTTGGTTGCAACTATTGCACAATCTCTGCTCTCGTGGAGTATTAACGTATCTACCAGTCTCAATATGGAGAGTGTGGGAGCTACAGCGAAACTGGGCTAGTGCAACACGAAATTTGTTGATAGTGATAGCAGACAAATACAACTCTAGACTGAATGAATTTTTGAAAAGTGTATAATGGAACATTTTAGAACTATTTGCTAAAGACCAATGCCAGTCCTGTTCGTAAGCAAATTTTAACCGATCTTCACATTCGGAAATAAATGATTCGGGGCAAATAACATATTGGTTCTCCCATATATATCCAAATCCAAGGCTGTATAAAAGAGTTTTGACTTTTGTAGCCCAATTAGTTTTACCATGTGTGGCTAGCTGAGATAACATATCATAACTTTTCTTAGGATATCGTGAATTTGGTAGGGACATAAGTTTACACCAATATTTATACAGCGTTTATACGCAGAAATGTACAGTGGGTATCTTCCACACTCTCCTCGCACATGATTTGGAGTAGACGTTTTAACACCTAGCAGACGTTTACAAGCAAGTACATGGATACTTTCTATTTCTTTGCAGTTTTCAAAACTTCACATTTCAGCCCCATATAACATAATTGGAGCAATTTTAGTATCGAATATTATAAAAAACAGTTTCAGTGGAATAGGTTTAAGTGATGAAAGGGATTTTAGAACCGAGAACAATACCCGTTTAGCCTGTAATGAAGCATTGTAAGTATGTTTCGACCATGATAAATTCTTTGAAAATACAACTCCCAAATATTTGTACGATGATACACATTCCAACTGACAACCACTGAAATACCATTTCTCAGATCTAGAAAGTACACCACCATTCTTAAAAACTACTATTTTCGACTTATCAAGATTTACCTTTAGGAAATAATTCTGGCAATAGTGTTCGAGTACATCGATGCGTTTTTGGAGGCCATATACAGTATCTGATATAAGAATTACATCATCAGCAAAGAGTAGCAGGAATAGTTGAATTATGTCTGGATGGAGCTGGATTCCGGGTTTACAGTTAGCCTCAATTTCAACAGCTAGATCATTGATAAACAATGAAAACAAAAACGGGCTCAGTACACAGCCTTGACGGACACCCAAGTCACAATCGAATACATCTGAGAAGTTATTGTTAAACTTTACACAGGAACGTACAGTCGTATATATGGATTGTATACACTTAAACATTTTAGGTGACACACCACTGTTATTCAAAACTATCCATAGTTTTGATCTGTTTATAGAGTCAAACGCTTTGGAGAAGTCTACAAATAAAGCTTATAGTTTACCTCGCTTCTTCCCCAGATAACGCTGTATAACTGACTGTAAAATAAACATATTATCAATTGTGGAATAGCCACAACGAAATCCTGCTTGCGACTCCACAACTTTATCATAGGCATCACACCAAGACTGCAACCTTCTATTTAGAACAGAAATATATAGCTTGCTAAAAATACTTAATACTGTAATTCCTCGGTAGTTATCGGGTGTATTAGTATCCCCTTTCTTGTGTAATGGTACAATTTGGCCAGTCGACCAGGAAATCGGAAAATAAGCGGAATCAAACATAACGTTAAACAGACAGGTAATATAGGGAACTAACACATCGCATGCGTATTTGAACATTTCAGCAATAAGCTTATCACTGCCGGCAGCTTTGCTTGTTTTCAATTTGTTAATTGCCTCAATTACCTCCTGCTGTTCAATTGGCGAGTCTAAGATTGATTGAGTTAAGTCATCAAAATTGTTATCTGGCACAGTGTTATCTTCATCCCCCATTTCTGAATCGAACAACCCCTTAAAATGTGAAAACCATTGCTCAATATTTATATTTGGCTTAGGACGGACAGTGGTAGCAGACAGACGTTTCAAATTTGCCCAAAATATTTTACTGTTATCCAAGTTAGTCAAAATGGTACTCTGTACATTGTCTTGATATAACTTCTTTTTTTCACGGATAACATGTGTATAAGTATTTCTTGCCTTAATATAGTTACAAAGTGATGACGAATCTTTTAGTGATCGGAAAACCTTAAGAAGCCTATATCTTTCACAGCGGTGGTATTCACACTCCTTATCGAACCATGGCTGTTTACTTCTAGAAATATAAGAAGGGCGTTTCATACATTTCGCAGCGGTACATAAAACATCTGAAAATACCTCAACTGCTTTATCAATTTTACCTGAAGCGATAAAATCTGAACACTTGTCAAGCATTGAAATAGAATTTGTAGACAGTAAACTGTCTCTAAAAGTTTGAGTTTTGTCCTCGTTCCACACAAAGCGGTAGCTGTCCCCTGGGTCTCGTGCAACACGCTCACGGTCTCTCGATCCAGCTTTGGCACGTGCGTGAAATGAACATGTAACTGGCATATGGGTCGACTCTGTTCTATTTGCAATGTCAAACTGTTTGCACAACATAAACAATGAAGGGGATGCAACAATATAGTCGATTACGCTTGTGCCATTGTGGCTGATGAAGGTATAGTCACCTTTTGCCGCGTCTGATCCACATCGGCCATTGAAAATGCACAAATTCAAAGCACTACATACGTTTAGTAAAATCTTACCAAGGCGATTAACAGTAGTATCACAAGAGAAACGTTTGGTGATCACGTTGCCATAAATATCAGAAGGTTCCTGGATGCCAAGCCTTTCAGCAATATCACTCTCTGCGGCATCGGGCTCATTACCGGTTCGGGAATTAAAGTCACCTCCAAGCATGATAAACATATCACCATATTTTTGTATAACATCTAACAAGGATTCAAATAATAAACTTATTCCACATTTTGTTGGTTTACCTCTGTACCAAGTTGACCCATCAGGATTGACATAAACACAAGCTACCAATACATCTTTTTCTAGCTTAAATACCGATTTATCCAAAATAACATATATCACATTCTGTCCAATAATGTGCCCTTTGACATAATTGACTAGAGACTTTCTAATAAGTACTACAATCCCCCCCCCCCCCCCCCGATAATCTCCCAAAAGATGACAATCTCTCTGCAGACAAAACATATGGCTGGTAATCACCGAGCTGTTGATCAAAATCACAGTCCTTGGCCCATGTTTCTGTGAGTCCAATAAAGTCAAACTGTGTGATATATGAAACAAATTCATCGTCTAAAAGTTTATTAGTAATACCGGAAATGTTCCAGAACAAGAAATCTGAAATTGATTTAGTAACACAGCGATAATCCGGGCCTCGGCCACACCTCTATTTATCATTAGTATCTGTGTCCTGCCTATCTGAATGCTGTTGGTAATCCTTAACTACAAGGGCACCATTCTTGTAGTAGCCTTGCTTGTTGTTACGTCTCAAATCCTGGAGTACTTTCCTCTGGTGTGTGGTGAGATCACTGCCTATACCATATCCACTCTCCTTCAGTTTATCGCGCAGGCCTATTGCTCCCACTTTGCAGTCCATAGAATTGAATCGAACTATAATAGGTCTCGGGCGATTAGACTTTGCATAGCCAATCCTATGGGCGTTCACAATGTCAGTTGCTGAAAATGGAGTACCTTCATTATGGGTGTTCAATGTTTCGCAAATAACTTCCTTTATGTTCATTTTATTTTCATCAGGTTTCTCAGCGACACCATACAGCAGTATATTCTGCTTCCGGCTGTACTGTTCTAGTTTATCCACAGTATTCTCAAGGTTGTCAATCTTATCGGTAACATAACTATATGCTGACCTGTCTAAAGTAGAACTATGCTCCTCAACACAAGCGACACGTTCAGATAATGCATCTATGTCCAGCCGTAGTATTTCCTGTTGGCTTTTCATATCTGCTATTTGTAGTTTGAGTTCATCCACGGACTGATTCAATTTACGTGTGTCAGACTTTATATCACGGCTATCCCTAGAAAGTTCACACTTCATTGCCCGCAGCTCTTGTAAAATCTCATCTTTACATGTTTGGAAGTCAACCTTTGGGGGCCCCGGGTTTAATTCCACATCCACTGAGAGAAGCAAACGAGTATGTTGATGAATGATTGCAGCACTCACCATAGTCATTGTGTAAAGGACCAGACATGTTGCCATGAGCCGGTAGCACATCTTTGTAAACGGTGTCCATTCCGTCCTGGGGTTGTAATCACCAATATGGCCGACCTGTCTCGTACCTCGAGGGTGGGTGAAAGTGCCGATTCGCACTCTCCAGACTTCAATACATATACCCATCGTGAGTCAGGAGCGTCTTGGGTATGTTAGAAACCAATATGTCCTCACCAGATGTTGATGGTGGCCTTTGGTTTAACTTAAATTACAAAATGCGACGGACCCAAGTTTTGACCAACCGCCCTGTCCAAGGGAGGTCACTGCATTGAATCTAATGAACGCCAACAGTGTAAACTATAAGTATGTGTACAACATCAGCACGATTCATTTATAGGTTGCGCTCAACACGGAGTATGCTGAACACCGTCAATGATGAATGTCTTCAGTTCGTGAACAGGCGATACAGACATGACAGCAGACATCTGGAGGAGACTTGAGGATGTCTGTCGGGATATGGGCTTGGTCTCGGGAGGGACGGGAACGCTGGCTTTCTGAAGACGTGAGACGGAAACTCTCCGCACCATTCGTCTGGCAACACTTCCTCTCTGGAACGATATATCTAGTCGTGGTCGTTTGGCGGGAGACTCCATCACCATTTCGTCTGACCGATCAGTTAGGGAGATGCTGAGAGCTTTCTTTGCCATTTCCTGAAGCTGTCGACTTTTCATCTGAAGTTCCTCGTCGCGTTTCTCTAGAGAGCGACGCCTCTTGTTGAGTTGAACCAGGCGGTCATTGAGGAGTTGGACTCGAATACTCCCAGTTGAGTTGTTCAGACGTGTTGCCATAATAACTGTCAGACACGATAGTTGGAATACTTCAGAAGAAGACCAAATATCACTTGAAATGGCGAAGCAGGATTGAATGTTGAAAGGGTAAGAAACGCAGTGAGAGATAAACTTCGATGTTTGTGTACTGACCTCTGGCAATAAATGATGAGCAGAGAGAGATATTTGAAGATTTTACGAGCGCTTCAGCCTCTGGCTATTTCGCACTCGGGGCAGACGGTTCTTATAAAATATAGAATAGTGGGAATAAATATAAACGTCTAGCCCAAAAAACTGTAAGTGAAGGGGGATAAAGTAATGAGAAGAGGGGTTGAGGATTTAGTGGCCATAGAGAGCCGTAGAGAGATAGTAAAGTTCTACATTAGCCAGGTTTATTGGGGTATAATTACTAGGATAGATAGAGTGACAGAAGTAATCAGTTAAGCTGATGTATAGCTACTATTAATAGATAAATTAAATTAAATCAAGGGGGAAAAAATAATGAATAGGTATGAGTAACCTAAGTTAGAAAACGGGGGCCTAGCGCGGGGGTTGGGTGGTGGGGGTAAGGCTGTGTGTCGGCGTGATTGGTAGTGGGCTTGTTTGTGTCGGCTGAGGGTGGATGGCTGGTTAAGCGGCTATAGAGTTACTGAGTATGGGTATAAGAGTTTGTGGCGCGGACGTCGGAGTAGACAATCCGCGCTATAGGTTGAGTGCGCGGACGTCATTGTAGACTATCCGCTATAGAATTTTGAGGCGCGGACGTCGTAGAAGACAATCCGCGCTGAGAATTTCGATCCCGATCCGAATCTAGAATTTTGCTGTTAATGTTAAAGTTACTTGCTGAGTTTGTTTGGGAGGGTCTATAACAATAAAACAAAAATACCACAACATCAACAAACAGACTTTACACAAATTTCAAAACAATCCAGACAAGGCACCGTACACCACACACTTACACAAACTACTTATTACCCATAATCTAAACAACATAACCCATCCCCCCCCCCCCCTAAATCAATTCATAGCTGACCTCCCCTCCCCCGCAGTAGACACCTCACTCCACTTAAGGTTCACCCCTAGCAATGGCATCCCAGCTGAAAACAAGGCAAAACAAACACACACCTACATCCAAAACAACTGGCCTACACACACCCACATCTACACAGACGCATCACAATCAAACAACATCACAGGCTTAGGACTACATATAAATCAAACACCCCCGCTCACTACAAACTTCAACTACAAAAACCACACAAACAATCACACCGGCGAACTACTAGCCATTCTAACTGCAATACACGCAACTAAAACAATTAACCAACAAAAGTTTCTAATCATCTCCGACTCACTTTCATCTCTCAAACAAATACAAAATAAACACTCCAAAACCCGACCAGACCTCATCGCCAATATAATCACTCTCATCAACGAACTTAGGGAAAAGAACAAACATATTAATTTACTCTGGGTCCCAGGGCACACTAACATTCCAGGCAACAACTTAGCCCATACCGCAGCCAAACAAGCCACCCAACAACCATCATTACAAATATACTTCCACACGTCTAAGGTAGAAATTAAGAATATAATAAAGAGATCCATAAAACTACACAATTACAATACTATTATACAAAACTGCAACTCCGTCTGGCTTAGATCAATTTTCACCCGTCCCAACTTTAAATGTCGCAATTTTAACATATCCAATCACCTAGACAACATCATTTCCCGAATAATCAGCGGCAACACAGCTCTAAACCAAACACTATACAAACAAGGAAGACACCCAGACGGAACCTGTACATACTGTAAATATCCTGAAGACTTGTACCATATTTTTAACAGCTGTCCTTTCTATAACTCTCTTCGCGCCGATCTCTATCAAGCTATCCCTCCAAACCTTAAACACAATCTTCCACTACTTTTCCAACCTTCCAATCCCCCCCACATTTTCAATGCCATAACACAATTTATCATTAAAGCAGACCTCCTCGATAAAATTTAGAACTTCCCAAATAAAACTATAAAATCCAAATAGTATCTCATCTAGCTAACTCCTGCCATTTTCGGATCGGGATCCAAATTCTCACCGCGAGTCGCCTTCTCCGACGTCCGCGCCACCAACTCCTTTATCCATACACTAAACATAGATCCTCGTTTAACCAGCCAGCTCCCACACAAGCCGACAACACACGTCATCCAACCAAGCTATAACCCCCCCCCCCCCCCCCCCCTCCCCCAGCTCCCCACCCCCCGGAATACCGGCTTATACTTTTCCCCCTTTAAACCCTATTTCCTTTTTTTTCTTTTCACTCACCCCCCTATATTAACAATGCAGCCTAACTGCATTCTTAACAGCCCAACTCTGCTATACCGACTATACCCCCCTCCCCCCCCCCCCGCCAAGTTAAAATATAGCCCATAAACATTCTCTACTCAAAAAGGCCTTAACTAATACTACCAAGTACTCTGATACATTAGCCTAGGTTATCCCCCCTGATAGTTCTAGTTTTTTGGGTATGGCGCTTTTTTCTTATTCAATCTATTTATTATTTCTCCCCCACCTACCCCGTCCGCGAAATGCAATAAATGCGAAGCGGACGTAAAATCATTAAATCAGCCAGGGTCTAAATTTTTTCTATTAGGGTTGTGTCTTTAAGGAAAGTGGCTATTTGTAGGTAAATCGCTGGTGGGTTGTCGGGTTTGAATAGCAGTGTTATATTATTGTTGTATTTGGGTGGGAGTGAGTTGTAAAGTGTTTGTTGTTGTTGTTTATATTTACTACAGGTGGTGAATATATGTTTTATGTCTTCTGTTGTATTGCAATGAATGCAGTTTGGGCTTGTATGTCTGTTTTGTTTGTATAAGGTTGCGTTTAAGTTTGTTTGGTTACTTTGTATTCTGTTTATGACTTTGTCTGCTAAAATGGAGTTTGTGTAATTTTTGCATTTTGTTGTTGGTTTGCTGAATAGTGTTTTGATCCATTGGGATTTACATTCTTGAATGTTATTGCTAAAGTTTTGTTGTATTATATTGTGTTTTATTAGAGTTTTTGTTTCGGCTTTGCTTGTGTGAAATTGTAAAGTGGGTGTTTGGTCAGTAGTTGCTGTTTTTGCTTTTTGGTCTGCAATTTGGTTGCCTGGTATGCCTGTATGGCTGGGTATCCATACTAATGTTATTGATTTGTTGGATGTTTTGAGTTTTGTATGGGTGTTTATTATTTGTTTGATTAAGTCGGGTCTGCATTTGGAAGATTTGTCTGATATTTGTTTTATTGAATTTAGTGAGTCAGAAATTATGATAATTTTGTTATAGTTTGATGTTTCTGCCTGTTTATAGGCTTGTAGAATGGCTAGTAGCTCTGCTGTGTTTGTATGTGAGTAGTTTGTATATTGGTATTTCTTTGTGCTTTGTATGGGCTGTGTTGTATGGACACCCAGCCCTGTTTTTTGGTTTTTGCTGTTGTATGATGCATCTGTATAGATGTGTGTATGTTCCGGCCAGTTGTCATGAATATAATTAAGTGATATTGTTCCCTTTTCTATATTTGTGAGTTTGTTATGGTTGTTTAATAGTTTGGCTAGGGATATGTCTATTTCGGGGGGGGGGGGGGGGGGGGGAGGTCAAGAATATAAGTGTTGTCTGGGGGTGAGTGAGTTATGTGTCCTAGATTGTGTGTTTTAATGAGATTTTGCAGGTGTGTTATGAAGGGTGCTATATTTGTCTTGTTTTTGAACTTTTTGAGGGTTGCTGGTCTTGAATTTTTGTATTTGTGAAGTATTTCGTTGTAAATGGGGTTTTGTTGTGCCCCAGCCCAGTAACTGAGTATAGATTGATGTCGTTTGAGTTGAATTGATGTAATGCCTGTGATGATTTGCAGTGTATTAAGGGAAGTGCCATTTCTAGTCCCCAGGGCTATCTTGAGGGCCTTATATTGTATTGAATTGAGCTTTTTTTCCAATTTATCTGTTAATGATGAGCACATCTCACTCATGTCTTAAATACTGCAGAACATTGGTGAGGACATGATTGCATTATTTACGCCAGCCGTCCAATGATAACAGTTAAACAATGGTAAGATCAAAGGAAATCTTAACAGTCACGCTCATCAGTTATAACCACCAATCACTATAAATAACAAAAAATAGCTATCCACTCAGTGGCGGTATAACATGAAACGATACTCACGTTGTTTTCTATCAACAGCTTATGAGCATTTATGTTTCCGGAAAGATTTTTTGTCTTTGTGTTAAGTCTGATGAAAGGTAATTTAATAAGGCTCCTGAAATACTGTACCCTACTACTGAATCTCTTTCCAGAATAAATGGTGTTGTTTGAAGCAACAAGCATTTCGGTTATACTACCTTACCAGTTTCGTGTGGGTGAAAGCACAACGTGACGCAGGTCTATGATGTGTAGCATTTAGGCCTCATTTTATGTTTGACGGATTATTCCAGCTTGGTGTGAAAGCCTTAACACTC